CGACGAAAGAGAATAAGGAAAGTAATTCTGGAAGTTCTTCAAAAGGAAGCACTAATTTCATTCTCTTTGTTCAAAATGTGTTCTTTCATTGTTTTAAAGTAAAGGTTAAGGTGATAGTTTGAAATACTTATGGGCATTTGGCCTAATAAGATGAACTAACCTTGAAGTTTTTGTAATTTGGAGTTTTAACTCCATAAGTATTGTAAAAAGAAATGTTGAAAAGAAATTTCACCTGCGTAAGATAAATTGTTATTTTGCAATTACATGTTGTTAAACGCATCACCTCATTGTAGTTTAAACTTTTTTTCAGGCACCTTGCTGCATTTATTTTCTAGTATAAATTTCACTGTAATTGGGACATATTTGTTTTAACTTATATAGAAATAATTAAATTAAAATAATAATAAAAATTTAACTTATATAGAATAACAANATCCCTCAGTAATTAATTTGTGGATCATCATACTAAAGAATTATATTACATACATACACACGGAGAAAAAAATTCTGATAAAATTAAAGTAATGTATAGTAATAACATTTCTAATAGAGCAAAAAAAAAACTACATAATCTTGATAATAGATATTAAAATATTCAGTGGCTGGGATAGCCTGGTCGGTAGGGAGCTGGACCCATGTCCGGACCCATGTCCATGTCCATGTCTTCAGCCGGCGGGGTTCGAACCCCGCCGGCTGAAGACTCCTCGTGTGGTTGGTGACTGATGCACGTTAAAAAATTCAGTCGAATCGCGAAGTCCTCCATGTTCCCATAACAAATCATAACCTCTGGGGGTACTGGTTTGGAGATCGATCGTTCTCTGATTCAGGTCAAAATTACGATCTGTGGATGAATGAATGGATGTATGAATGGGTCCGCCTTATAAACAGGTGTGATGTATGATGTGGCAGAAGTCGAATTCTTGGCCATAGATGGCGCCACTGGAAAACAAGAATCGCACACTCTACCTTAAATTTGCTCGGTTTCACCAAGCAGGTTTGCCTGTGTGGCAAGTGGCATTAGAATCAACCAACTAAAATATACAGTGTTTAAACCATTCATTTAGTAATTTTTTCGTTCATATGGTAACATTTTACTGGAAATTTTGGCTTTCAAATTATAATTCTTATTACTACATATTTAGTAAAAAGTAAATTTCACAAAATCAATGATTTTTATGCCATGCTCAAAGGTGCCATGAGGAAATTAACACATTTTGAAACATTTATCAATATTTTTAACACATTATATAAAGTTGTTACATACCTATGAAATATCGGAATTTCTTATAGTAAATTTAAATAAGCATGCTATTTTTCATAAACTATTTTATTAATCAAAGTAAATACCAGTACAACCAACACATTTTTGCCAACGTGTTACTAGTTTTTGGATACCACTTTCATAAAAATTTGGCTCTCTGGTTTTGGCTCTTGGCTCTCTGGTTTTTGAGTCATTTTGGATCTGCTTTAGATTAGTGAACTTTTGACAACGGAGAAAGTTGCCTAGATGTTTAAAATAGTTGGTGATATGTCCGGTGGATGTGGACTTGTTGACCTGTTTGCAACGACCCATGTCCGGTGTCCGGTTTGCAACGATCCGGTGGACTTGTTTGCAACGATCCATGAAAAATGTGGTCGTCCGTTATCGTGAAACAAATGGGTTCTTTTTGGTTGACCAATGCCGGCTGCATCTGACGTAATTTTTGATGCATAACTTCAATTTCTGCACATTACTTCTCTGCTGTTATAGTTTTACCAGCATTTAAACATTTATAATGAATTATTCTAGCCATAGACCACCAAACAGTAATCATTACCTTATTAGGGTGTAGTGGTGCTTTTGGTGTTGTTTTTGGACTTTCATCTACATCTAACCGTCACGTGAACGACGCCTATTATCATTAGGCATCAATTTTTCGTCACTGATGATAGTTGAGTTAAAAAATGGTTCTCTTTCATTTCTTATGAACGGCAGATTTCAAAGCGATGTTTTTCTTTGCTTACCTTTCAGTTCGCGTGGTATCCATTTATAAACTTTTTGACTTTGTTAATGGTTGAGAGGGGGTGAGATACTGTTGCTGTACTCCCAATTCTTGTGCAACTTTTCGAACAGTAATGAGAGGGTATGATTCCATAAATGCTCTTAATGGAGTGTCATTAAGTCCTTGACTCTGGTGGTCTTCCACGTGGTTCATTTTCAAGACTTTTATGACTCTCCTCAAAATGTTTAAACTAATATTGAATTGTTCGTTCATTAAAAGTGGTTTTACCAAGCACAGCATTATTGTTTCGAACAGCTACTGAACCGCTATGAACACTTTTGAATTCATAAAGAAATATAACACGTAAATCGCTAGAATTCCTGTTTAGAAACCAGCTTCTGAAAAGATACTAAAATAATAAGACATAAAACTTTTAACATGGTAAGAAAGAGCACGTAATAAGCTTTAGAATAATATATACTTTTATTACATTTCATAAGCATCTATTTAAAAAATGTTAACAAAGTTGCCTTAAAAAATCTAACGTTTCCTGTGCAACAACCTGATAAAACCGTATTTTATTGCTAATTTTGTCAAAATCATTACCAAAGCACAGTGGTAAAAAATACCGAGTTGTTTGGTGTTCCCATAGAGTCAAACACATGGCAAATTTTACTATATTCTTATAGTTTTTACCGTTGTTTTCTTCTCCATGCATTACATTTTATGTTCTTTGATCTTAGTAACCTATTCTCTACCATTTATTCAAGCATGTTTTTAGTAACCCCTTTGTTACCACTGGAACACATACATTTCGTATCCATACAAATCCTTTTCTACCACCTGAACACTTAGATTCTTTAGAAAACCTTTTCGCCAACACCAAGAAGCATACATTCTAAAGTTATACCTTTTCGCTACAATTGGGATACATTTATTTCACGAGTCTTCGTGAGTTTTGTTTTTGAGTAATTACCTAAAGTTTTGGTTTTCTTCACATTGAGGAGATTCATGGCCAAAGTGTTTTGGCCATGAATCTCTTCAATGTGAAGAAAATCAATCCTCAAGCCATCAAAGTGATTCATGGCCAAAGTCAATTATTGCAACGAATATCCGGCCTTAGTTTGGCTAGTTTAGTTTTAGAGAGCAGTACGCGGGTAACTTGTAGTTTAGTTGTTTCCACATCGTTGTATATTTGTTTATATACTCGTAACGAATTTTTATAATCAATTAAATTAGTAGAACCATATAAAATAACTTTTTTTTAAATGTAGTAGTTTACGTAGTATTTTATCAAATCTTGTTCATGTATGTGACTCTGACTAGCAAAACGTTTAAATTTTTTTTAAAAAAATATTCTTGAACTGATTTGAGAAATCGAATTTTACGCTTTTGTAAAAGCCCCATGGATTTTCATTGGGTTTTATGCGAGCTGAAATTCGTCAATTAACAGTTCTTTGAATTTTCGAAATGAATTAATATCAAGTTGGCTACGAAGAAGTAGCAATACATACAGCGATCCGAACATGTAATTTTATCAATTCATATGACAATCGTGCCTTCAAATTCTATTTCACAAATCTATAATAACTACGACTAAATTAGTGTATTCATGACATAGAGTTCGCGTGCAGGTCGTTGAGTTGCCAAAGCGGGACAGGCATATATCCTCTGCAGAGGGTCAAAATTGTAATGGCATGTCTTCAGATCATCCTTAAACCTATTTCCCAGAAAGTCTCCATAGAGTCCCCTTGCCGTCAGGTTAATGGTAGGAGGGTTTCGTGGTTTTCCTCTCCATGTAACGAAAATGCGTGTTAGTTCCATCAAAAAGTTCTCCACGGAGGTAAATTTCTCCCAATACTTGATCAAAAAGTTCCCTTGTCTTACGTATTGGGTTAAAAATTAAAAGGCTACGGAGTCGAACATTAGTTGTCATAAACCTAAAAAAATGGGTTGACTGTTTAACGACGGTTTTAAAATAAAAATAAAATAGCCCATTGTGCAGCTTTAGTTTGACGTATATAAATTACTACTCTTATTACTATAAAGGTTATATATATGCTCAGTATGTCATCTCTTTGGAATTAGAGACAGCTCCAATTTTTAAAATTAAAAAAATTATATTTTAAATAAAACATCAAATCCAAAGAAATAGGGTATACTCTGTGCTATTTAGACTAAGGTGAAAAACGAGGCGAAAAAAAGCGCAATTTAAGTAAAGCAACGGAGATACTATAGTTTTAATTTTCTAGACAAGAGCTTTCCTCGTTCCAAGTATCGTTCGCTAAATTTTTTACATTTTGAAATTAATTAAAATTATTTAAATGTTGAGAATAATATACATACTATATATTTTCTTATAATGTTACTACACGCATCTATTATTTATATAAAAAGTTAAAAAGCTTTTCCTTAACTTTTTTTCTTTCTGATTCTGAGAACTTAAAATCGAAGTTTTCATGAGAATGATCCATATATGTTCATTGGACATAAGTCTCTTCAATATTTATAGTTTAAACCAGTTTTTAACAGACATCTTTTTAAACTCTTAAACTTAAATTTATAGTAACTAATAGCCTTATCAAATGTAAAGTACTGTAACAGAGTAATTTGACAACTCGTATTTGGCTGGTATTATATTAATTGAAATACTTTATATTTAAAATTTACCTTACTCGTGATTATGTAAAAACGAGAACAATAAAGAAAAAAGAATTAAATTTTGGAACTTTTTACATATCCTAATATTCCAAACTCTTCCGTTTTTCCTCTAAATCACTGGTGCATAGAGGCCAAGGCTACTTTAGAATACAATAATTATACTCACTCGCGTTTTCTTGAATGAAAAAATGAATGAAAAACGGTATTTTTAAGCTTTCTCCTATTTATTCTGTGATCTCTTCTGTAATAATTGTGATTTAACCAATGAACATTGAGGTCTTTTCACTTTCGTAATTAAAGATTTCATTTTGAAACATCGGACGCTTAATTGAGTCAAAGTATCTAATGTTTAATGCATATTTTAGAAACAGAAGAATAAGATGTCAAAGTGTTCGGGAAGTATGAATAAGTTTAAGCGTCCAGTGATGAATTAGGAGGTGGAGTTTAGCTGGTCACTTTCGGACAAGCGGCAAATTTGATGCTGCGTTCATCGACATGAGACCTTCCTAAATTTGGATACTATCTGTACTTAAAATATTGCTGATTGAAGAAAGGTATTGTTTTTAATGTTTGCGTTAATATAACTTCGCTTGTATTTATATTTTCGCTCGATTATTTATCGATTTGAATAATTTTAAAATTCAAATCAATGTTGAGCATTTATTGATTTAAAATATTTTACTTGTTACATTTTGAATATAACATATTTTTGATATAATATTTTCACTTGATATATTTCTGATATAATATATTTTCGTGCAATACATATTTGATAGAATGTACTTTATGTTATCATTTGATATACTTCCTTTTTTGAAATTTTTAGAATAACATATTTTTGCCTAAAACATTTTTGATTAAATAAAATGACATTTGATATATTTTAGATATAGTATATTTTCGTGTAGTATGTTTTTGGTATAATATACTTTCTTGTAATGTATTCTTGATGTAATATAATATCAATTCATATATTTTTGATGTAATATATTTTCACTTGATAGTATAAAATAATTTCGCGTTATATATTTTTAATTTCATACATTTTTGACATAATAAATTTTCTGGTCATAAATTTTTGATTTATTATAAATTCACTTGATATATTTTTATATAATGTATTTTTACTTGATATACTTTTGTTATGATGTTATTTCGTATAATATATTTTTCACTTCATATATTTTTGATGTTACATAATTTCACTTGTTAAATTTATTAAAATAGTTTCGTTATTAGAACTTTATATTTTTTAACTTTTTTTGTTATTGAGGTAATTTTTATTTCTAAACTATATTCTTTTTAAGCATTGCCCATAGAAGAAACAATAACTTTTTTAAAATAAATGATTATGTAAATCAATAATTTTATGAAAATAGTTACCTATCATTAATAATAATAAATTATTAAGTTTTATTGCCATTTCATTTTTTTTTCATGCGGCTCTTTTTTATAGGTAAGTTATTCATTAAATTACATATCGTTAATATTGAATTATTTTGAAAAAAATAACTTAATCGACTTGCTAAAAGAAATTATTTTTTTTAACAATTGCGTTAATATTTATCCAGTTTTTAAATTAATAGTAAAAAATAATTTCATTATTGTTTTCGTAATTCAATTTTAATTATTTCATTCATTTTCGAAGTCTAATTTTTCTCGAAAAACTATTTTAAATGTCAGTTAGGCGCGAAACATTAATTCTTTTTAAGCTATGTTATTGTAAATAAACAATTTTATAATTTCTTATTATAAGCAGTCCAAAAAAAAAAAAATCAAAAATGAACGATATTTAGACAGTTCTATATCTGCTTAATATAAATTATTTGTACAATTTAATTTTCAAAATTAAGCTTGTAATCATAAGGTTATTTTAATAAGCCCGTTATTGTTCATTGATATAAATATTTATTATTGCGTATAGTAGCATTATTACCGTTAAATGTTGTAGTTCACCTTGTTTAAACTGAATCTATTTATTCATAATAATTAATTTAGTTTTGATATTAGAACTTAAAAATTCTGAATTTTTTTTCATTGAATTTTTCTAGTCAATAACTACACTGATAGAATTTTCATTCAAAAATTGTGGTGAAAATACCGGCAGCAGCCTGTCCATAAAATAATCAGTAAAGTTTACGGTAAAGAAAGTTTCTTACCTTTACGGTTTCAAAATTGTTTACATTTAGTATGGTTAAGAAATCGTGAATACAAAACTATACGGCTTTTTAGCCATTTACAAATAGCAAATAGTAAACTTTTTTTTTTAACTGAACATTGGAGATAGTTTAGCAGCTTTATAGTGCTGTCATTTATGCGTTAGGAGAGTAGCGTATATTAATAGTCGCAGGTCAGAAAATAAGGAGTACAGGAGTTTTCGTTCCTATAGTTTTATTTATTTACTTATTCATTCTTTGTTTGTTAGTTGACTGGCAACACATATTTTTATACACAATCGAATTGTTTTAATCGCTCTTTTTCAAAAACATTTCGTTTAAAAAACAAACGCATTTTTGATAGTATATTCACACTAATTCCTCCAAACAGTTGTTATTTTGTTAATTTTATGTGATTGTTTGCCCCATAACTACAGTTCTGTGCTTATAAATGTATATAATTTATCTGAACATCAAAAATGGTGGGAAATATACTCTAGCATTTTTTACAGTGTCATTTTCACCATTTCTAAATGTTTGTGAAAAGGAACATGTCTGGTGACTCACTATACCAAACACCATGGAATTATCTGCGGTTTTTCACTACCCCACATTTAATGTAAAGTATCCACCATTTTTAGCGTTAAGATACACAAAAAACTTTTACTGTGAAGGGAAGATTAATTTTTTGCTCAGTGATGCTATTTATACGTCTGGGAATTTTGAAATGGTTTTATTTACATTCAACTTAACAAATAGATCAATTATACAAATAGATTTTTTACTGTGTAGGGAAGATTAATATTTTTTTTTCTAGGTGAAGCTATTTTCATATTATACGTCTTGTGAATCTTGAAATGGTATTATTTGTTATTAAGTTAATAGAAAAGTATTTTTTACTTTGTAGGGAAGAAAAAGTTTTTCTTGGTGAATCTATTTTTACCATATACATCTTGGGAATTTTGAAATGGTGTTATTTGCTATTAACTTAATACAAATAGATTTTTACTGTGTTTAGGAAATACTAATTTCTTACTAGATGAAGCTATTTTTGCAATACACATCCTGTGAATTTTGAAATGGTTTTATTTCTATTTTGCAGGTCTTACCATCGATAAGGACACCTTTTTCAAAATTTACATTAGAATTTTTATTTTTATTTGAATCGCCTAAATGTCACTTGTTCAAGAATATATCCTGATGTCCTTCCTCGTAGCATTATGGGTTCTAGCAAGTCTTATGAATCCTGTTACATCAGCGGCTGTGACAGAAAAATTTCCTGATAACTCCACAGCTGCTCCAAAATCTGTCAAACAAATCGAGAAAGAAATTGATGCAATGGTCAGTTCGATAACAAAAATGGCTCTCCCATATTTCATTAGGAATTCCGATTTGAAATTATCTGGATCCTGTATGTCGACTTTTATCAAGATTTTTGTCGATCTGAGGAAATTCAAGTTGCCAGCTATAAAATGTAAGTAACGCCTTAAATTTCTATTGATTTAGTCTATTCCGCAAACTGGTTACACAAAGGTTACAAAATTAAAAATATTAGTTTACAAAAATGAAATCGAATTCTGTGTATATTTTAATTTTTAAAACTAGTTCACATAGTGCTATAAATGATGAACGAAATTTAAAAAAAACTACACCAAGTTTTATACCGAGTAAAGGGCATTCAGGATATGGGCATTTTTTCCGTAAAATCCATTTTTACCGGAACATGCTATGGAACAAAATATCTGAAATACAGTAATTTTTACTTTATTGATTACTTTAAAATCACTGAATCACTCTAATTTAAAAATATTGATGTAAAAATTACGGTATAATATATTACGGTAAAAATAGATTTTACGGATGATGCACCCAAAGTACACCGTATCGTATTTTATACCGTAATTTGATCCGGAATTTGAATGTTAGTTCTCTTAGTGTTTTCAGCATCGGTGGCTCATTAATAATGCCTTTGATACAACCCAATCATAAGAAATTACATGGAATAATATCCTTGGAGGCTATGTGGTTAAGAGTATGTTTCTTGTCCCTTGCACGGCCGAGACACTGTTTATGAACCACTGAAGGATGAAAACACATTAACTCACTTCTACAGCATTAGGAACCATTGTTACACTGTAAAAAAAATCTGTTAAATTTACTTGAATCTGTCTGTAAAAAATGTCGACTGGTGCGCTCGTATAAAGCCGTTTATTTCGCAGAAAAATTCTGTCATTAAAAATGGTCACCTGTTTTTCAAGTGGGTAAGTACTGTTAATTTAACAAAAAATCTGTTACTTTAACAAACAAAAAAATTCCATAAAATGACTAAGTCAGCATTGGGGATGGGTCGAACCAAGATCAGAATTTGCCTGATTAGTCAACGCCGTGACTCGAACCCGTGTGGCCACAATGGAAGAAGAGAGCTCTGTTCTGTGGGCCACGGCAGCTTGTGAGTTTGGTTATGATTAAAAATCTTAAACTGTCTTTATTTCAAAAGTCTTACTTATCGAAATAGTATTTAAGTGTAAGAACGTTTAATATTATATTGGCTTTTCCTTATAAAAATATCGGACAATTTAACTTACCGAAAAATTATATCTAAAGACAGATAAAAATCAAGCAGAGTATCAACTCAACAATCAACAATGAAGACGAATCGCAATTTTATTCATACGATAGTTAAGTCCATAAAATAATTTCTGAAACGTAAGAGCAGGTATAAAAAATAATCGCAAAATGATTTGAAAAAAGATTACGTTATCTTTGAAGCAAAACTGCATGGCAGAAACTAGAATCTATATTGACAGTTTTAATTCGTTCATAACTAGGTGAGAAAGGGAGAAAAACTCTTTTGCGAAAAACAGCTATAAGCTTTCAAATATACAGAGAAAGTCTGTAAAATAACGGGAAGTTCTTCATTTAGACGGGTAACGGTTAAAAACAGAAAAATGTTTTTATCTTTAAATCTTTATACAGTTCTTTTCTGTAAGAAATATGATGTTTTTTCTTGTAGAATTCACAGTTATTTTTTTACAGTGTAGAGTGAAAATTTCCAAGGTGTGGAACAAGTTTAATTACATATTAGATGTTTGTTGTGTAACAAAAGAGTCACACACCGAACATTTGTAACTGAAAATTTAAAAAAAAAAACTTAGCATATTTTTCGTCAACTTCGTGTATTTCTTATTGCAATATGTGTCATAGTTTCGAAAATGTAAATATTTAAAATCTTTTTGAACATTCTAATCTTGTACAATTAGGTTAAGCTTGATAAAAAATTTTTTTAAACTATTTATAAATAAAAAGGAGAGATAAAATTGTCATTCTGCTTCGTAATCCTTAAAGGTCATAGTTATAACCTTTCCTATGGCCTTCTGCTTTAAGTATGAAAAATTAAGATGCTAAAAGAATGCTAAAGAATTTGTTTATTTGACAAACCAACTGTTTTATTTGTGGAAATGCCACAGTGTTTAGAAAAAGCACCTGTTTTTTTAAGAAATATATGAATAGTACTGTTAATTATGACCTCTAAAATATTTATTTTTGCAATGTTCTGCATGTTTTTTTAAATCTAAATTTAAAGTAATAAGCAAAATAAATTATGTTGCGCGTTTGAACGGTAGTGTGACTTCTCCTTAAAAACATCTGATAAAGTCAGACACGAATTCCTTCTTTTAAATTTCAAAACAATTTCCTTTAAGACTACGAGTCCGATATGTTAAAGTTTGGTGAAATTTTATTACTTTGTAAATATTATTTTAAGATTTGTTTTTCTTTTTATATGCCTTCACAAAGCGATTGTCTTTGTAAATTTACAAAAACTTTTCACCCTCTCTTCCCTATTTATATAATAGGGAAGAGAGGGTGAAAAGTTTTTATAAATTTCCCAAAAAGCTTAATAATCATTATTTTGAACATATCTAGGATTTTTTAATCAAAATTTTGACATACTACACTTTTAGAGTACATAATGCACAACCTTAATTTTCTATTTTTCGTTGCAAATTCAGGTGTGATTTCATACTTCTACATTTACTATAATATGCATTGGAAGCTCAACTCCTCAAAAGCAATAAATTAATTATACATTAAGTATCTCTTAAAATGTGATAATCAGAATTCATTGCTATTTTCCCATGACTTAATTAATAGTTTCAATTTTATCTTGTTACTTTTTTTTTTAGTTTTTTGTTATTTAAATTTATAAAAACACGCTTTAAAACCGTAAATATCAATATAAGAACGACGTGATTTCATATACCATTTTAAACACGAATTCGTTGACGTCATCGTCATAAGCCGCGAAATTATCAACGTCAAAATTTACTTGCGGTAATCTTACTCAGGAAAATAAGGATAGATAATTCTTGAAAACGAGCGATGAATCTAATTTTTGATTAATTAGAACTGCAAACTAACAAATCACTCATACCAAAATATATTTATCAATGCCTATGGGAAACTTTTTCTTTGGGATGCAGCCAGCGAATTGCAGCACAGAGGGAACTTTTAAATTCAACTGTTTGATCCACCATATTTTCATATATTTGCACATGTTTCCGTTAAAGTATATAATGCAGTTACGCCGACCGGCCTGTGTAAGGGTTAGGGAACTGCCCTTGCATCAGAAAGGTTCTGGGTTCGAATCCCGGGCAAGGCATGGATGTTATTTCCTTCTCTGTACCATCTGTCCTTACTGTGGGAGCAACGTTGGCACACCTAATATGGTGCCCCTGAAAGAGAGGCCAACAAATCTGCCCTGTAAATACCTGAATTGACGAAAAATGTTAACACAGGTGGGTATTGGAAAAAATAAGGAAAAACAAATAATGCAGTTATTTCATAGAATAACTAGGTACTATTTCAAGAAATAACTAGAAGTCTATTAAAGTATATAACTGATAAAAAAAATTTCGTATTTTACCTAGTTTATTCAATGAAATAACTAATAATAAATCGTTAAAGTTAAAAATAAAGAATTTCAAAGTTATTTTATAAGTTAATTGATTATAAACAGCTACAATTTCTCAAAAAAATACATTTTATCCTTATCGCGATGATATATAATAAGGAAAAGCAGATGATATAATTTATTATTGCTCATATTAGTAACTACGTCTAGGAGCAACGAAATGAAACGTACACACGCACACACGTCGTTGCAAAGCAGCGATATAAGCGGTTCTAAAAACGGGTTTCACGTTTTGACGGCAACATAAACACCGAATTTGAGGCGGATCGTTTCAGAATTGCGAATTTGTATAAGATACATTCACGCATGCATATAAACATTCTACTTTATTTATTTAGATAGCTGAAAGTATACCCAGTCTTTATTTGGTTGCTGTTGAGTGTTTTAGTAAATTGGTTGAAATTTGGAAGAGTTTTTGAGTCCTGGTAGTTTAAAATTAGGTTTTTGAATTAAAAATTTTGCTAATGATTCCACAAAAAGCCTATCAATTAATACATCCTTATTTCTATGAACTCTGGCTTGTACATTCAGAAAAACGTTAGATAATTTTCAAGAACCCGTATTGCAATATTCCTTAATTTCTTTTATTAAAAATAAATATATTTACAAAAAAAGAAGGAAAAAAATAGCTGACTCAAGAAGTTCAAAAACGGGAAAGAATCCGGCATTTCCCCCTCACANCCCATATTTCATTAGGAATTCCGATTTGAAGTTGTCTGGATCCTGCATGTCAACCTTTGTGAAGATTTTTGTCGATCTGAGAAAATTAAAGTTGCCAGCTATAAAATGTAAGTAACGCCTACGCCTTAAATTTCTATTGATTAAGTCTATTCCGCAGGTTACAAAATACAAAGGTTACAAATTTTAGTTACAAAATTTAAAATATTAGTTTACGAAAATTAAATCGAATTTTATAAATATTTTAATTTTTAAAACTAGTTCACATAGTGCTGTAAAGGATATAATAAGGAAAAGCAGATGATATAATTTATTATTGCTCATATTAGTAACTACGTCTAGGAGCAACGAAATGAAACGTACACACGCACACACGTCATTGCAAAGCAACGATATAAGCGGTTCTAAAAACGGGTTTCACGTTTTGACGCAACATAAACACCGAATTTGAGGCGGATCGTTTCAGAATTGCGAATTTGTATAAGGTACATTCACACGTGCATATAAACATTCTGCCTTACTTATTTAGATAGCTGAAAGTATACCCAGTCTTCATTTGGTTGGCTCTCTGGCTTGTACCTTCAGAAAAACGTTAGATAATTTTCAAGAACACGTATTACAATATTCTTTAATTTCTGTTATTAAAAATAAATATATTTACAAAAAAAGAAGGAAAAAAATAGCTGACTCAAGAAGTTCAAAAACGGGAAAGAATCCAGCATTTCCCCCTCACATCAAAGACGGATACTGATTTCAAATTTTTATTTATTTATAACTGATCCAGCGTAATAATTAACAGGCATACAATAAATATCTTTACTAAG